GATTCTCTGTTCAATAAAGACATCATTTCATTTGTCGCTATACGATTCCTTCTTTGAATGTTTTCTGGCCGCGGAGTAATTGCAGCCGGCCGCGCCGAAAGAAGTCGCGGACAAACCCCCTCGAATGCCACCCTCCCCCTCACATCGCCGCCCCTACTCGTAATAGGTGCGGTGCCGGTGCTTCGAGGCGCGTTTTGGAGTGCTTTAGTGCGCACGGAAAGCAGCGAACGGGTGTACGCACTTGAAAATCGTATTTTAGCAGAAAGCAGTAAAGCTCGCTAGGCCTTACTCGTATTGCTCCACTGTCGCTTGCCTGCCGCCATGTTGCTTTTGGGGGTGTTCACTGTGACTACCTGTTGATTGCGTGCCGTGTGGCTACCCATGGGGTCGTTAGTATTACTAAAGGGGGGTAGCGATATCTTTGACGGCTTCTGACTACCCCAAATGTAGCACCCTACGACTACCCTTTTGTTGAGAGTGTAGACACTGAACTCTGGGGCTAACAGTATTGAAAAAAAAATAGTTTATCTTCTTTTTTACAACGATCGCAATACAAATCTCGGCTCAGTTTTGAGTAAAAGCCTCAGGATTTAGTACGGTCACGTGTCTAATGGTCAAAATGGTACACCATGGTGGCAGCCAGGGTGTGCGGTCACTTTAGCCTGGTGAACGGGACACCAGTTTATTGTTCTAAGCCCTTCTACCTCGTTGCAGCAGACCCCCAAAGATACCAAAGGCCGTTAATATGCACTTTTGTCTCTTCATGGCTGGCTTCGTGGTATCGTGATGTCGGTTGTGTTTGGACTCGAAGTCCAACTGAGTATACCGGTAGCCGTTAGGGGAGAGGAGGAGAGGAGAGCGCGCGGAGTCGCCAGAGTGTCGATCTCGATCCGACCGGAATGGGTAGACAGGAAGCTAGCTTAGCGTTCGCATTTATTTGCTGTCCTCGGCAACACATGTACCGAGTGACTTGGGATATGAGCAAAAAGGAATAGGGTAGGAAGGAAGAACTCCTTTCAGTCATAAAACCAACAATTATAACGCATGAGGTAAGAAGGACGAACGCCCGACCACGAAAAATGTTGGGTCATTCGAGGCTTACACTTAAAAAGAAAAAAAAAAAAAAACTCGCCTTAAGGAACCCAATTGTTCGTAGCGCCGCTTCATTTCGTCCATCACTTTTTCGGTAGCCTCAGACTCGGTTTCCTTTCTTCTGCAGGAAAATTAATAAAAAAATAAAATAAAAAATAAATAAAAGAAAATTTAATCACCATTTAAACTGAACAGAGAAAACAAAAGACACATAGCTGACACGTACACTTACATAAAACTCCCTATATAGGCGTTCAAGTGCTCAAGTACAAGTACGAGCCGGTTGAAAATCACGTTGTATATGACTTCGATCACCATGTCAGGCGTGTCAGTCGAAGTCCCTTGATCTGTTTGTCTTTGCAAGTAGCGTCAAATGTGCTACTGTACCATGGCACATGCGTCGTGCAGTCCTTCGAAGAAAATGGCGGCGACGCACTGACATGAGAGGTCTTCCGAAGCGAATGACGGTGGAGCAATCACTCGTGACACGTGTCTGGCGCCTTCACCAACAACTGCTAGCGGTACTTGCAAGAAATGCCAGGCATGAATTTTATCAAGGGGCTTTAGTGTCAGTTTTGCGTCGCAAGTGTCGTTAGGCCCGCCGCTCGGAGTAATACACCCCGCCGTTTCTGTCTGCATTGTGATTGGACCGGAGGGTTCTTGGCTTTGACTTCAGTTTTAAGACAATGTTCATCGTAGGGTCAAGGCTGGTTTCAGACATGTACACGCTACCCAAAATAAGTGGTTAAATACCGCTACTCGCTGCACGCCCAGAAAGTCACTAAATACGTTACTCGTTACCGATTCTCAAAAGGAACGCATTACTTTACTTCAAGAGTAACGAGTTACTTTTCTCGTTACTTTGACGACCAAATACACAACTGCTTTTGTTTCAAGCTTTTTTGTTTTATTTTAGTAGTCGTTGCACTTAAGCAGTACCTGCCTGTCGAAGTTTTCATCAGTTATGTTTCCCCGATTCCTTGAGAACACATCTCCTGCGACGCTGAACAGTGGTTCTAATGACGCGCTCGAAGGAACGGCAGTGTTGTCACTGTTGTGCTTCAGGAAGAGCTGGGGAATCTGGGATTCCCCTCTCTCCCTCTCTTTCTTTCTTGTTCTCTCTCGTTTTCAGCTGCTTCTAGAGTTCGAAGTTAAGAATCGGTTCTTTGCTTTCCCGCATGGGCAACCTCTGCGTGTATATTCGGTCTGCACACGATTCTAGAAGGTTCAACCAACGAACCTTATTGTGTTTACTGGCTGAAGGATATTCCCAGCTGTAGAGTTCGACTGATGCGTTCGGCAATAAACGTTGCTCTACTGTCATACTGTTTGGTTGTTTTCCGGGTTGTCCGTCTGCCTTTGACGCAAAAGACGCGTACTTAGGCTGGAGTTAAAACGAGGCTGTTTAGAAGGTTTTGTACACGATACTCCTTAAAAGTAACGGAACACCGTTACTCGTTATTTGGTCTTAAAAGTAAGTAAGAATACTTTACTGGTCTCTTTTCTAAAAATATAACCAAATACGTTATCCGTTACCAAAAAAGATACTAGGTAGAAGTAACTCGTTATACTCTGTTTCATACTTAGCGCGCAATGCTGTCAAAGCTACTAGCGCGAGCGTGGGGCCTGATCTCGTTGATCATTTGATCGCGTTCTCGCGCAAACAAAACCATAGATGAAGCCACGCGCTCGCGCCAGTAGCTTTGACAGCGTTGCACGCTAAGTATGAAACAGAGTATAGTAACGCGTTACGTATATCTGGCTGGTTTACACTAAAGTCACTGAATCCCGCCAAAGCAGTGCATTGCCTTCCCTGGCTACCCTCTCTAATATAAGTGTCTTTTGCGCTGATCATGCAATCCACACTTCTCCCGAGCGAAGAAGTGTGTTTCGGGTCCTCGCCGCTGAAAAAGCTGTAAGCTGATGTCCAGGTTCCCCGAGAAATGGCTCTTTGATGCTCTGTGCTACCAGATCCTCGCGCTCCAAATCTCCGACCGGGCACTCCACTTTGAACTGCCAGGCTTTGTGAGTAGAGAGGAGGGTGGAGCGCGTCTCCGACCGTTGTGTCTAGCGTCCTACAGGTTGTGTTCAGCGTCCTACAGGAGTGTCCTCCTGCCGGACGCCGCCGATCCTGTCGGTTTCCAGGATCGTGACAACGGGGCAACTTATTCACCCTCATTGGCTGGTGAGGGTGGGTAGAGAAAAGGCAGCTCGCCTTTGCGTCTAGATATACTTTCAATTAAAACTGTGCTCGGCAAGCTGTGACGTCACTGCACGCTCTCACATCTCCCCCACCCTCAGTTTCTCTTCGTATGTCTATACGAAGCTGGCGGGCGTAGTTACGGGCCCTGCGGTCAAGAAGGGAATTTGAAGCCCTTGTGGAATGAAGCAGCAATTATAGTGACAAACAAGAGGTGACGTTGGTAAAAAATGACCCACTTCTCGCACTCTCATGGCAAATGCAGTTTTGATACCGAATGTATTGCGTGTTGCTTTAGCGTGCAGTTGCACAGATGGTTAAACACCGTTTTCAATAAAACACTTGAAGGATTTTCTGCCTCACCAACCGACGAAGGGGAACAGGCTGAACACGAGTGCTGTGTCAGCCTTTGGCTTACTCTGTCGTCTCCTCTGATTGAATACGAGTAACGACATTACAGTCAGTGAGCAGGCGAGCTGGAGCAAGTTCACCAGGACAATTTTAACCCGAGACTGGGGCAGAAGGAGGAACTTGTTTTGCAGTGGAAGAGAACGTAGCAGGGACAGACAGCGTTGTTACGTTTTTTTTTTCTTTGATACTTTCTCTTCCGTTGTAAAAACACACTGCCCCAGTGTCGAATTAAAATCATCATGGGGAACACGAGTGTCGGCCGAACCCTGAGTCAGCAACATAGTTCGTTTCAGTCGAGACGCAGCCGACGCTACGAGCTTGTGGGACCAACCAGGCATCATGAAAAACGAACCATCAAGGTGTTCGTCATGTTTCTGGCCGTGTTTTATCATCGCTGAACAATCCTAAACAGAAAAGGCCCCGTAACTTGAGCATTCGACGCCGCTTGATGGATACCTCGTAGCGTGGGTTATGTCTAATCTACAACCTGCGCCTCGCGCTAGCTTCGGTGAGGGACGCAAGACGTTCAGCAGTATACGCTCGTGTTACTTAGGAGGCGGACTCGATGCGCATCTTGAGCCTCGAGGGCGCCAACACTGTCGTGCTCAACGTCTCTGAAAGAGAGCTCTGCCAAAGCTAGCTCTCCAGCGGAAATAGAACGCGTTGTTCGCGTCTCTTGCGGTTGAACACCCCAGCTTTGACCCGGCTGCTATTTCGCGTCTCTCCGTTTCCGCCAAGGCACGCGCTTGTTCTTTTTCCCCGCGGCTCGTGCGGTCTCCCATCATACGTGCGAGCGCGCTCGCTCAACAGCTGGACAACAAGGCCATGAAGTATCGGATTGTCATCATTCCGGGGGCCATGCGTGAGGCACGAATATGGGACATGTGGAGCTTCCGGATTTGTGTTCAGTAAGGACAAGAGTTCCACCCGAATACTGACGCAGCACTCCAGTGACGCCATTCCGTTACGGAAGTGCCTTACAGGAAGCGGAGGAGCCATCCATAAAACACATTGGGGGTTAAAAAAAAATCGGATACTCAAGACGAAGTTCTTCTATTTTAGGGGGTAATTCCTCGAGTCAGCATCTAGCCTTAGAAAATACCTTAGCCTATTAGGCGTCTAGAATAATACCTCGAGTCATAACCAACCTCCTACTCACCTAACGCAGTTTGCACGGCTCCAGCTGTCTTCACCGGTCAACCTTTTGCGGTTTCAGGCTTATCGTGATATTCGCGCAGCGAGGACGCAACATCGAATGTAACAAATTTCGTTCCTCCAAATACCATATTATACTCACGTGAGCTTCTGCAGCAAATATTGCACGTACGTCCAGGCCACGATGATGATTACGAGCATGGGTGGCACGCTGTAGACCATCCACATGGCGAACGTGAGATCGTCCGAGTCCTTGAAACGCCTGAGCGAGGACGTGAGCGCCACAAGGGATCACTTAGGAAGTGAAGTTTTCATATGCTAACGCGTATAGGAGCCTGTCATTGTAAATCGCGGAAGGCATATGATTGGAGTATCAGGGAGAGGTTATGTGTGGATTGAAAACTGTAATGGGATCGTAGTGGCTGGCCGGAGCGCACTAGAAGGCAAGGATGTGGGTTTCGCACTTTGCGATGTGAGGCTGAGCGCAACGCTTACGTAGTCAACATGTAGATGTGGTACAAAGTTGCTTCTCATTCGCAGGTCTCTTTCTAGAAATCGCAGTCATTGAAGCGGACCAGCTGACTTTCCACAGAAACGGGTGCTGCAACAAGCGAGACATCTCGACATGTTATAATTCATCATTTCAATTCACTTTCGGGGATCCCGCGCAGTTAGGAGCAAAATAGTTTCGGGCGTATGACCCGTAGAACAGGCAAACCGGTTTGTTAGAAGGCTTTTAAAGCGGTAGCTTTATAGGGCCAACCAACCTCACGGTCCGCGTAAGCACAAAATGGGTAGGTCGGTCAAACAATAACCGCCAAACAATCTTGAAAAAAAGAAAGAAAGAAAAAAAACGTTAAGCGGTGTTAGTGATTGAACCCCAGACACCGGCGTGGAAGCGATGTGCGCTGCTGTCTGAGCCACGGACCCAGCACACAGGGATAGGAGGAACAGAAGCAGGTGGTGTGTGAAAGCGCGAGGAGCGGAGAGCGGTGGAAGGGGCAAGAAAGAGAAGAGTCGAAACAGGTGGTGTAGGAAGAGCGCGCGGGACGAGTAGGAGTGGGAAGGGCAGGAAAGCGCGCTTCCGCTCTCTTAATAGGGGGTTTTCGTAGACCGCGCTTCCCCCTCCGCTAATCCCTCTGCAACGAAGAAGCCGCTACAGCGCCTGCGCGCCCATGGCCTGGACTGCAGAGTCCTGGATATCGTAGCGGGTTGCGGAAAGCCGTTGCGGGACTTCCAAAACGATCTACAAAAACTACCTAATGACCCAGAAAATTCAGCTCAAGGCTCTGTATCCAGGTTCTACAAGAGTATCCTACAAGTACCGACATTCTTTGAAGCGCCGAATGCGCGACGGTGCAGGTTTTTGGAAGCGAATGGTGGCGCACAGCAGAGGTTTGAACTGAATGCCGCTGTTTTGTTCCAGCGGAATGTGCTTTTTCATTTGTATTGGTTGTCGTTACTTGTAAAATAAGTATCAAGGGACTTGAGGTTGTACCGAAGGGAAGCGCACGCAGCGTCACAGAGAGGCAGCACGCAGTATTGCGCCGATATCGGCGTCAAATTACAAAGATCGTTCTGCACTCATGCCAACTTTTCGGTAACGGCCGTTTTCTTCGTCGGAGTTCATGGAGTGTGTTCCAAGACGAAACCACTGGATGCTACGAATCACGTTCACGAGCGGGGTGAAGAGGAGGTCAAGGCTAGGCTTGGGCGTGAAATCAGCCTTTGGGGCGTCGCCTGACTCCCGTATGCAGCGAAACGCACCGAGCACGTGGACAGAGATATTTCAATTGGTGTTAGTGGGCTAGTCACATTGCTTCTCCCTCCCCGACCACCACGGCTCGCCGTCATGTTCAAAAAAAGAAAAAAAGAAGAACGGGAAGGGAGTTATACCCCTAACCTGATATTACTGTTTTATTCTCAAGTACACTGCAAGCATGCTTTTGATAGTAGTCCTGCTTCTTTCTCAGCAGAGAGTTTTGATACCCCCGATAACGATACCGCGATAACGATACGATAGGTGCGCAAAGGCGGCGGCGGAGTATCGGGTACTGTTATCGGAGTGATCGGCACGATTTTCTAAAACTCTCTAATCTCCACAGCCCTGTCTGATCTACGAGTTTTGCTTGGCACGAAAACATTGTAATTCTCTTTAATAATTTGCTTCTCGTTCTACGGAGTATAACTTTTGTAAATGTGTCAAGAACAAGCCCTGTGTAATGATAGTAGCCTAATAAACTTGAGGGAGTGATAAAAACAATTCCGTTTCTCCGTGCAAGCCGCGCCTTATGTCGGCAATTAACGTGCGAGCCAATACTGCCGATACAAAGCATGCGCATAAGCGACATCCCGCCGATACAGAGAAGACGCATATGTGACATCTGGACGACACTCCGATCTGGGCAGTATACTTTCACGATATCCAACCGATACTGGGCCGGTGGCGATACGACGGTAAGCCAATACCTTCCCGATGTCGGGACGCGGTACAAAACCACTGATTCCGACGATATTGGGGCCAATATATTGGCCAAGTATCGCCGTGCTGCTTTCCGCTCGGCGATACTTGGCCGGTGTCGGCGGATTTTTTGCGGGAGATTGACCTGAAAAGCGTTTAGTCTGGCAACGGTTCGGTGTTTTTTTTTATTTTGTGTTTTTTGACGATTAAAACAATAATGGCGCATAGTTGTGTTTTGTGCGTTCGCTGATTCATTTTGTCGTGCTATTCTTGGTTCCACGAGTGAAAGGAACTGCAGAAACTTAGTCCGGCTGACGCGACGCAGGTTCCGGTATTCCTCCGGGTCTGTGTCAGAAAGTTTCCGATTAAACTCGTCTAGCACGCCGCGTTAATTCTTGTACGTCAAATCAGCCATTCACCAAGCAAGACCTTTCTTGTGGCTGTGGTGTAAGTACACGAGTGCTGTGCATGAGCGCGGAGTGCGTGAAGGCATCTGCAAACGCCCCTCGCGCGAGCCCAGAACTTCGTCGCGTCTACGCCTAAGCCTTCTCGAGCAGGACCATGCCTGTGTCACTGTCATGCCTTAGCTTAGTAAAGCTAGTGTCGCTTTGCGAAGAACCAATCAGGGTATTCTGTCTCGATCTGTGTGTGGGTAACAGCGGCGTACTGTACGATTCCTTATCGCGGTAGCAAAAATCGATTTCCCTCTGGGACAACGGTGCCACGGTGCGATTTTGGATTTTCGCGGCACTGTGGGGTGGCGAACAGGTTCGGTAGGTCCTCACTGGCGTCTGCTTGTCGTCTCCCTCGTGTGGATGTGCTAGGGAGACGGACGAACCGCGAACATGTCGTCACGTGATCAATCCGTCCGCGGATCAGTCCGTCGTGTTATTCGGCCTCTAGTGGACCTAACAGGATCTAGATCGCGCGCTCGTGCCACGCCCTCACATCTTACACCAAAGAAACCCTCGAACCGGGAGTGCGGAAAAGGATGGATTGCTCGCGGCGTGTCACGTGACCTTTGGGTTTGGCCAAGGCAAGGTGACTACAGTCGGTGACAGGTTAAAAGTTCAAGGCAAGGGAAAGCAAGGCTGGGGAGGAGGAAGGAGGCAAAATGGTGGAGAGAAGGGGCTGTTTCCTCTTCTCCACTCCAGCAATTCATCTCCTTCCTCCTCTCCAGCCTTCCTTTTTCTCGCCCTGAACTCTTAACCTGTCACCGACAACAGAGAACCTCAGTCATGTATGCTTGGGAGATGAGCGTGTTGGTTCAGATGTTGGACGAAGAAGGAATAAACAATTAGCCCTGGAACAACACACCACATCTTTCAAAGATGTGTGTGTTTGAAAGATGTCGTGTGTTGTCCAGTGTTAATTGTTTATTCTTTCCTCAGTCATGGAACTCCCGCGGAGGGGTACCCCCTCTTAAATACCGACCTGCAAATTACTTTTGAAACAGGGTAAAAATCCTTCTCGCGCCAGCCTTCCCATTTCCTATACCCCCCCAGCTATCTTGACGGCGGGGGGACTCTTTTTGTTGCTGCATCTTGGGGGCCAAAAGAACGGGAGCTTACCCCGGCTTATCCAGCCCGAAGTTGCAACAACAAAAGGAGTTCCCTCCGCTGTCAAGTTAAGGGTGGGAGAGGGGGAAATGAAAAAGGAGGCGTGGAGGATTCTTAAGCGCAGTTCACACACTTCCAACCGAGTAGGATGGAGAGAGACAAGACTCTCTTATGACGTCTCAGGACCAGCTCCGCAGTATCACATCTGGTCCTAAGACGTCACAAAAGGCTTAAAAACCGGTCTTGTCTCTCTCGGTTGTACTCGGTTACAAGTGTGTGAACGAGCCTTTACCCTGGTTGAAAAATATTTTGCAGGTCGGCCTTTGAGGATCGTTCACACACTTGCGACCGAGTAGGACCGGCTGTGGTGAAACTGTGTTTTAAGCCTCTTGCGACGGCCTAGGACCGGATGCGCTGTTGCTCGGCAACAGCGCATCCTGTCTTAAGCCGTCGCAAGAAATTCAAAGAGCGGTCTTGTCCCAGGCGGTCCTACTCGGTTGCAAGTGTGTGAATGGGCCTTGACTTCCTCCAGTCCGCCTCCATTCGTTTGAAGCGTCATTCAGATTTTCGCTTCAAAACATACACATTCCATAGAATACACTGCAGTTACCGCAGCAGCCGTCCCCTCGAAACCGGGACGCGTCGAACGACGGGAGGCGAGTCGTTGGAAGAAGGCAGAGAGGGAGGGGGTGAGGGGGGTGGGGGGGGGGGGGGGATGAAGGAGCTAGTGCACGTACGAGCAGCGTCTTTGGGCAGTCCCGTAACCGAGCTGGTCTAATAACGTTGGGCAAAGCGACGCGCGGAGCCGCCGCTTCGCGTCACGTATCACGTCACGTCCCATGTCACATCATGCATCACGAGTCAGTCTAAAAAGAATACTTCAGAAATCGTGGAGCGAGCGACACGACTCCGGCATTAGTCGTACGGCAATTCGCTTCCCTACGCTTTTTTTTTGGCGGGGGAGTAAGTTTTTTTTAGTCATGTTTCGCTTGTGTCCTCTGCGGGGGCCTTGAGGATGCTCATCACGTGGGTCCGCACAGCCACTAACAAGCTCTGTTGGGTGTCGGTCAATTGCTCAAGGCCTCTGCTGCTCTTCAGGTCCCGAAAACGAGAAAGGGAAGGGCCGTATTGGAAATCTTGCCCAAATAGATTCGAGCTACTCCGGTGGGTCGTATCACGTGATAACACAGATAAAGCGACGCTGGACGCAGGTAGGATTTCGGGTGCACATGTACGAAACCCTAGTCAGGAGTAAGATAGAGTAAATTATGGATCACGGCCAAGCACACGAGGTCCCGAATGAACAGGTGGACAGCATTGGCATGTGGCCTGTGACGTCAAATGTGACGAGCACCGAGGTCACCGAAAAGCGGAGGAAACGAGGAGGAAAATCGTGCTGTTTTCTTGGTGATCGGACCGCCGGACGCTTCAGCTTACGCAATTTCTGACGAAGTCGGGTCGCCTCACGATTTTTGATCACGTGTCCTGCTTGGACAGGCCTTTACGTGATACGGTGAAGTGTTGGATTGACTCACATGGAACCTAATGTCCGTTCCGGTACATCGTAAGGTGACAGGGACTGCAGTAAAATCTGGCTCAATCGTGCCAGATTGAGCCAGATTTTGGCGATTATCCACAAAACTAATGCAATGAAATTTACTCGGAGATGCCACCAAAAGCACACTTTCTAAAATTTCGGCCTGCGCACGGATCCCGAAAATATGTCAGAACCAATAAAAGTAGAGTGATATCTCCTCTGTCAAGATAAAGCTTACTCGTCCAGCAGTCCCTTGAGGATTAAGTTCGGAGCCGTGCCGACGAGTGTCCCAGTTCCTCCGACGTTGGCAGAATAAGCGACCGACAGCAAGACGAGTTTGCGCATCTTGTCCAATCGCAGATTATATTCTTTCCTAAAAAAAGTAAAAGAGAACGCTATTTCATCTCTGACAGTACATTTACACTAACAGTTCGAATTCTGAGCACGTCGCTAGTCAGCTATTAACGTTGAAATGTTTCGGTGGCGATCTGTTAGGATTCACATTAATGGCGTCACAGCCAGTATTCGGCCAATTCCGCCTAGAAGACAAGGCATGAACATGACGTCATCGATAGTGGATACCCCGACCGGCCCCATGCGGCAAACACGCTGAAGCTCGGCAAGATTGGATCCAAAGCAAAAAACGCGTGCGTTTTAAAGTCCCAGCGTACTAGCGTCGCGCTCATTCTGAGACGCTGCAAGACGCGCTGGCGGCGATGCTAACGCATGCTAGGCGGCGCTGCGTCAATCCACTAGTGATGACGTTTGAGGGAAGGCCTTGTCTTCTAGGTTGCATAGATTTGCCTCGCCGTGATATTGTCGGTTGTTGTCCTGGCTTCATATTATCAGTTGTAAACGAGAAGTTCGATGGTGTGTGTAGAAAGGGTACATACAATGAAGGGCTTGGGGAAAGCGCAATTCGCGCTTTCCCCTTTTCTTCCGCTTCCTCCTCTCTCCCCTTGTCCACCGTTGCCTGTTTCCTCCTCCCCCATGGTGAGGAGAATCTTCTGCCTTGCAGAGTCTCGAGTCTTGTCGTCGGCCTTTAAGCTGAGACTATAGAAGCTCCGCCTTCAGCGCGAGCTTTCTGCCCTTTTTAACGCAAGTGTGAACGCGCAGACACGCGCAGGCACGCGCAACCAAAGCACTGAGGAGCCAGCAATCTTGCTTTTTGCGCAGGGGTTGTGATGATGGCAGAACGCCAAGCTCTTATTGGCGAAAAAAAAAATAGTGCGTAGGCCTCAAGGCCTTTAGCATTGAGGTCTACCCACTATCCTGCCAGTCAAAGCCAATCACAACTCGGTGCCGTTTTGTCGTCACCGCAACCCCTGCTCAAAAAGCAGACGACTTGCTCTTCGCATAGTCATCGCATGCTCAACTGAAACACCATCGATTTTGACTTTCTGACATTCCCAGTTATTTCCGTCAATGAATACAGAATAAATCCTGCGAAATATATCGTAGCCAGAACTTGGCTAATCGGTGAAAAGTTAATGAGAGCAACGCTTTTGATTCTGCACGCCACCAATAAGCTATAAAGAGTAGAGATGGACATTTCAAATATGTTTAATGGGACCGGCCGCCGCATATATTGCTTAGGGTACATTTGGCCAGCTCCACTAACCCAGCTTCATATTTCATTACTTGCCACATCTGTGCCATTCCTTTAAGAACATCATACTTTTCCTACTTAAATCTGGGATTTCTTTTTATATAGTTCTTAATGCTTTCATATATAATTGACATATTTTAACACTGGAGAGTGTGGAAACAGAAGGACGACATGGATCTCCATTTGGAGATTCGTCTTGTCCTGTCCTGTTTCCCCACTCTCTAGGGTCAAGAGAATGTTTGTTTTTATCCAGCTGGCCTGCATCATTGTATTAATTTCATTCATGGGTGATTTCCTCTCAAATCGTGGGAGAACTAATGAGTCCTCAAAGAATTCAGCAAAACATTTATGTTGCTAGAAAATGTGACTAAAACAAAACTGCAAATTAGAACTACGGACATTTTTTTCTTCTTTCGCTTTGAGGCTTCGAAATTGCAGAAGGTGGTCTTGCGAATTTCGCATTTTTGACTAGTGACACATTTTGGAGACATGCAACGTTTAGATTGTCTTTTTCGCAAGAAATATAACTTTTTTACTGCTTTATCACTTTATATAGCAGGGTAAATTAACTAGGAGGGTGTTTTTTTTATTTAATAAAATAAACACTCTCGAATCTTGGACCTTTGAGAATAATGAGCAAAGTTTGAATACAACTAGCTTTGGGTGTAAAAATATTTTTGAGGCATAAGAAACATATGAAACGAAAGCTTGTAATTTTGTTGATTAAAAATTTGAATATTGTCATTATATGTATAGTTTATATAAAAGAAACAACACTGTAATCATTAGAAGAAAATATAATAGTAAAAAATTCAAGGTCATTTTAAGAAAAGACGTATTATTTTTTTTTCAAAGCTTTTTTACATGAAAAGCTTCCTATGTGCTTTTATAAATGCAATGAAATTTCTTTGACATATATGGTTTCGTCATATTAAGCAGTGTGTTTGAAAAGAAGACATATTTGTACCTCCTGTCTACGACTCATATCTCTCTCACTTCGTTTTTCTCTTAAATATTAGTCATTTTTGTAACATGAACACAGTTTTTATTGGTCCTCGAGTCCACAGACAGTTCGGCGAAGCTTATACATCGATAGTATTTATATAGTGTTATATGATAAGGGGTGCTTCCACACGTTCAGTTGGCTTACTTAGTAAACTACAGAAATCGAAACTGTCTTATATAACGTCTAAGCGTTGTCATATGACATTAAGAAACATATGTAGGACGCTTGGGGAAAAACATTTTTAGCCACGGCCTTCCAAGCACGTACATAAGCGTGCATAATTTTTTTCTTTCTTTTAATAACTTCCTTTACACGACAGCTAAGCTAGGTTTGTTGAAACCTCCCAATCTCTGTCTTTACTATTGGAACTTTAAGTTTGCAACATCAAACGTACGTTCCGAATGTTGTAGAATGATATGAGGCGAAACTATCAGTTGTGATAGCATCGCGCCGCTTCGACGCTTGCATTCGCTTTGCTGCAATGTGCGCGTCTTCCCTAATTTCGGCTTTTTTATAATTTTTTCTTGTGGATATATAAGTACCTTCAAGGTTCTCGTAAGCTACATTGGCTATTTTTGTTTCGACGGAAAATGGGAACGAAAGGGCAATCCACGAGCCGAGCTGGACGTAGACGTGCCGCCACCGTTTCTAACTGTATATGAGTACCGCATCCCATTGTTATATAGCTGTCGTGATTGTTAATTTTATGCAGACAGAGTCACTATGAACATTAGAAACGATTGCCATATGACGATTTGTGCACCTGATAGAGAGTTAGAAGCTATAGACGACCTGTGATTACCAGGACGCGATACCATGAACTAAAGCTCACGTGCCGCCACCTTAGAGAGAGGCAGCCTTTCCCTTTCGTTCTGCTTCGCTGGCTGGTTCTATGCTGTCCACATATCTGGTATCTTCTCTCAGTTTGTTAGACACAGTTAACTAAAACCGAGAGCAACTACTCTTTGCCTGATAGCAATATTAAACGTGGGCAACCAAGGATTCAATCTTGAAAACATTTAGAGATTTTGCCTGTGTGCTAACCCAAGTAAGGAGTGCGTTTTGCTGACCTGTTAAGGTGTGTCAAAAAAGAGATGGTTTACCCCTGCAATTCTTGCCAATGAAGGAAGACAAATAAATTGAGGTTGCTTTGTGGGGATCTAGCGAACTGCTAAAGAAACAATTGGAAATAGCGAGTTTTGCAATGTGCTCAGAAAGTGCGTAACAAAGTACTTTACATGGATTCATCCAACATGCTCAGCGGCTTGCTATAAACTCAGAAAAATCGCATATGAAGGCTCGAACCACAGTATTGCATTTTTATATGGCGGAAAACTGGAGCGTCGTTCTTCCGCAAGCGGTACAATACTTTCATCGGAAGAACCAAATCTTGTCTATCTTCACCTGCGTCGCTACAATGGAGCGCAAAATCTACAGTTTCGGAGTTGTCAACGACGACATATCGCACAATACAGCACACCCACCGTTCGCTCTGCGCACATTTGAAGAGTGGCTGAAAGAAAACGTTCCGATATTTAAAAAAAAGAAAGTAGTCTACATCTGCTACGCATAGGCTAGTCAATTCTAAAATACGTTTCAACTGTTCGAGATGGTGAATAGACAAGATGTGACTAAGTTGATTTTTTTGTAGCTATGGGATACGGAAAAAGTGCGTGTAATGGCGTGGAGAGAGTCCTCAAGCACCAAGCTTCCTTGCACAACCTCAAGTCGTCAGACCTAAAAGCCATTAAAAGTGGTGATGATTGTTTTCGATTGGTGGCCCCTAAAGTGCCTGGAATTGTACTCCTCAAAAGTGAAGCAGTATACCTCGCCCAATATCCTAAAAAAATAATTTTCTTTTTTAGTCTTGTGAAAAGCATTCAATCCTGACACTTGTTGATGAAGGCTAAAAATAGAGACGGGTCTTTCAGCGTTGTGATTAAAAAAAGCGATTTTTCAAAAGAAATGTTAACCATCACTTTTCCTTTTATTACCTTAAAACGTTACTCTGAGATTATACTACTAACAATGCTATGTATTTTTATGCGTTTTCCTTGTTTATCTGTATGATTTGTTATTGCCTCAAATAAAAGGAAGCCAAGAAGTTCTAAACGAGCCTCGCCAGTAGTACGTGAAAATGCGGCCGCATGAAAGATGGAAAATTTTGCACTCGGCCCACTCAGTTTCTAAAAACAATTTATCTCATTCCTTCATTGCCTGACATAGAGGTTTGTGAAACTTAATTATTTTGGTTGTTAAGAAAAAAAAACGTTTCAAAAAGTTTATTTAAAAAAATATTGTGAATCTTAGGATTTCATAATTGAAGTGAACATGTGCAGGGACGTTTTTTTTTAAATTATAACGTAGCAGTCGTGCCTCATTTTTACTAAATGGCATATGACGTATATAATAAATACTACGGCCACGTTAGAAGCATATATCTATAATAATTATGTAAAAGATTTGGCAACGGTACGATTCAAGAATTTTTATTATATAAAATAAAATGCGAAGAAGCTTATAAAGAATTTTAACTCTTCTATGCGGAATCCTAAGAGCAGTATAAAAAAAAAGAAAGGTAAAATTGTTGCCAAAAAAAAAAAAAAGAATCGAAAAGTTTCAAGACTCCAAGTGATGTCACCCGTGAAAAGTGCAAAAATGGGAAGGCATAACTTTTGTAATTTCGAAGCCCAAAACTCAAGAACAAAAATTGCTGCGTAGTTTTAATTTGCAATTTTGTTCTAGTCACATATTTTCCACCAACGTATTTTTTTAAAGAAGTTTTTGAGGACCCATTGTCTTTTTCTTGCGCCATTTGAGATGAAATCACCCTCATATAAAAAATAAGTTTTTTGAAAGTGCCAGTGCCGCAGAAAGACGAAGATTAGAGAAGGGTGCCAAGTTGTCCCCTACAGAGAGCAAAACTCCGCCCAGACGAGAGAGGGCTGCTGTGCCAGTGGATCTTTCGAAATGAAACACTGCTCAGTGGCACGTTTCTAAACACCATCGAGCTAGGGATTCTATAGACTATAAAGAGTTAATTCTCAAACAAATGCATAGGATTAAAGAAGGGCATGTTTTCCGTAGTTCAATTGTATGATGCCAGGCAAAGGGTGTGTTTTCATATAGTACAGCATGTTTTTACAAAGATTCTGGAGGTTAAACTTTTTCTGTAGATGTTAGGTTGCAAGAAAGAGTAAGGTTTTTTGGCTAGTGTCGTATACAAGGATATAATATGGCGCAGCGGTACATAATATACGATAAAAGGCAGCTGCCTGTGGGTGTTATTTTGTTAGGAAGGCTTATCACGAACGCCAATGGAAAACTATATTTCGTCGTTTATTGTAGTGCAGCTTTCTGCATTAGGAATGGTGTCCCGTCAATGCGGTCTTCGACTTGGAGGCAGGTCTAGGCAGCTGCCTTAATCGATGATGTAATGTTTTGATACTACCAGTTATTGCAGCAGTCCGATAAAACATAAGGTTACTGGAAATTTTATTATTAAAAAAAAGCAATACACTTGGTAAGGAAATCAGCGCCTAAATAACACGAGGACCAAGGCAAGAGGGAAAAGCCAAGGCTTTGTCTTGTCCCTCTTGCCTTGCTCCTTATGGTATTTCAGCGCTGTTTTCCGTTGCTATGAAGCAACTGTTCCAAATCACCACCTTATTGCAAAATAGTTGTCTCGGTTCATACGGAAAATGCACCTGCATGGGTTGCGAAATATCTATATTTTTGTTGATATCTTTGTTGTGTTAAGTCAGAGTAAACGTTTTAACCAAGAATTCTCCCGGCTTTTGGAACATTTGTGCAATAAATTGTTTAGGCGAATAAAGAAACACCCTACAATATGTTTACTCTATGTTCATTGTTTAGGCAGTCCCACACCGTACGTAAAATCCGCCCTTTTGTTTTGGTTTTGATGCATATATTCCGTTCCCGTTCCTGTCCTATGCATTTACAGTCACGTCTGTTTAATATGAACCCCGTTAATATGAATACCACGCTATATAGACACAATTTTAGGGGACAAACAGAGAAAGCATATATGCATTTACGTTTCGTTATTATAGACAACTCACATTATAAACGATTTTTGGGGAAACTGAGGTGTTCATATCAACAAGACATCATTGTGAGTCTACCTGCAGTGGTGCAGCCTGACCACCTTGTACGCTGTTAACAGTATTTTCTGGTATTAAAGAAAGTATTTGTTTTCTACATTACGAAGATCCTGCTTTCCAAAAAAGCGGATTTGTAAAAAACGTTATGCGGTTTTTAATTTTCTAACTTACTGGGCTTCATCAACATTGTCGAGGCCATCAGAAATAATTTCTGATTCGATTAGCTGGCTTTGATCTGGAGAAAGTCCTGCAAAATAGAACACAGGTTGTGACACCCCTGTAGCATTTCGGACACGTACCACAAAGCACTGCTGCAAATGTTATAGTTGCTGACATTTTATCGTCATGCCCTTCCATGCGCATCAAACATTGTTGCAGATATAACGCCTTTTCTTCGGTGAAAATTTGTCGATAATTAAAATCGCGATAACAAAATTTGATTAATATGTTTTTATGGACATATTTACTACATTAATACTAAGATATTTGATTAGCCCAACAGGCTGTAGCACCTTTGTACAAGAGTGCTCTAAAGCGAGCACGCGTGTTCTTGATGATGCTTGACGATTGAGCTATATGCTTAATTCTTCAGAATATGTGTGGCAAAGCAATATCTGCCGCGAACTGAACGCGCATTGTGGTTAGAACATAACGATGTCACGGCAGGTTCAACAATTGTACGTGCAGTCAAAGCACTATTCAACGCCGCACAATCGTGTCTGCACATTCAATAGTATCCAAAGCATAATTTTCTTCGCAACCACACGCCAACCCCATGCTAACCGCAATTTTAGAAGGGCGTCTTGGCCGGTGACTCAGCTATTGCATTCATTTCATTGGTTCATGATCTGATTCGCACAGCAGGCATGTAACACTAGCAGTTCCTCTCGGATGATACAATCAGCAAATTGATTTAACGTCACCCTGATAATCACAATTCACTTCTATGTCTCTTTAGATTAATCGATGTTTCGATATTGGAAAGGGTGCCACGTTCGCCGTAGGTTATCACTTTCCCATACATCACCGCGGCAGGGAGTGAACCCAACTACGTGGTTTCGTCCCCTCATGCACCAACACTATCCTCACACCAGTATCAATGCTGCCAGTAAGTCCTAGAATACAGAAAGACTAAAACATAGAGGACGAGACACAGACGAGAAAAGAGAACGAAATTATGTACCCGTCTGTGTTTTGTCCTCTCTATGTTTTATTCTTTCTGTTGTCCAGTATACTTTACTAACACCGTCGTTACGAATTGAAGTGAGTCCTACGACCGAGAGTGATTCCCGTCTCGCTATAAAGAGAAGAGGATCAGTTGGAATTGCTTTTAAGCATAGTAACAAAAGCCAATAGATAAGTCTTCGTATGCGAACGCAAAGGGAGACAAGGGACACACAAAAATACGTCAGACACGGACGTGTCTGACGTGTTTTTTGTTTCCCTTGTCTCCTTTCGCGTTCGCATACCGAGATGTTTAACCAACGCGCTCTCCTAATTCCATGTATGTTCAATAAATAAGGTCTACCTTCGGCTCTACGATTGTTGGCCCCCTGTATCTGGTCCATCACCGCCATTGCAATTGGAGCCATTATAGAGGCGGAGGCTGTGTTCGGGATCCACATGGACAGGAACATGGTGATCAGCATAAAACCCATCAAGAGCCTGCGTGAGAGCGTTTTCGGATTGCTATTCAATCGGAAGGTATGATTCACACGAAATACACTTAGGCTCATTTGTATCTCGAAATTCAAAGCGCAACCACTGACCAAATGCCGGTGACCGAAGTACTGCTACTATTAACAATGTTAAAGATCTACGTGAGACTCATCTTAAGGCTGACGTCCCACGGCAGCCATCTTGAATAAGGCGTTAGTTCAACCAATAGATGGCGACACGCACCCGTGGGGTGGCCGAAACATTGGTTCACAGTGGGATGGCTCGAGCACCATCACGTTCCCCTCGTGACCTTGCTCGCGCCGCTGCCAGCCGTGCTCAGTTAGCTCAAGTAGCGTGGCCCAGCAAACGGATGTATGCGAGAATATCAGGCTGGGTATAAATTGTTCTCTGATATAGGGAGATGCGGTGCGGCGGTTGTAACGGGCTTTCGCAATAAATCTCGCCAAGAAGGAATCAAATGTTGATTGACGTGTCAATATTCTATCAATGAAAATTTCTTCTGCAGGAATGCACGCTCAGTACACTCAATCTTCCAAGATACCAGTGGAAGCGGACGTCAAGCAAACTGCTTCGCGATTTACGGTACTTACCTCACCATTTTAATGACGACTAAAATAACGTCACGAAATATTGTGTTTCACGGGGTCCGGAAGATGTTGTAAAGGTTGTTACATTATAGGTTCCCAGAAAACAAACGCCGTTGCAATATTTTCGGAAGTACCGACACACATAATGTTGTAAGTACAGCTTAGAGGAATATGATGAAAACCATCAGAAGAAATAGGAAGACGTTTATTTGCAATGATGACGCTATGAAATGAACGGCGTTTAGCGACGGCAAGTTATGAGCGTTCGGGAATTTATAAGTTCACATGATTGCTAACTATGGACATGCGTTTTTGTCGGGAGATGGTGTTGCGGTGATGACCTGATATCGGACGACTCGTGGCAGACGAAAAAGCAAGTTTCTTCTCAGCGAATGGTAAGTGTCCAGTGTCAAGCACAACACGTGGCTACCGACGTTGTCGACGTTTCGAACACTTACCGCTTTCGACAAAAGTCCTGGCACCTGGGCTAACTCTCTGGAAAGACTCGAAGTCTTCCTTGATTCCAACGCCATCATGAACAGTAACTGAAAACGATCCACTATTCAATCGGTGGGTGGCGAAACGTATCCGCATCTGCGGAGTCATGGGCAATGCGTACTCTAAGTGGCTGGAAGTTTACACGATGCCTGCCACGACGTCCAAACATGTCATTGACGTTCTACGGTCTCTTTTACCTACTTTTGCCCTACCGAAAATACTTTTCTCTGATAACGCGCCAAATCTTTCTTCAAACAAAATAAACAAGTTTTTGAAGAAAAAACCGGCATCAGGCATCACATTAGTGCACCATACCATCCTGCAACTAACGGGCATGCGGAACAGATGGTGTGCGAAACAAAAAAAAAGCCCTTTCGAAGCTTACGGAAGAAGCAGTTCAGTGAAGAATCGCCAGGTTGTTGTTCCAGCAGCACGCGACGGTCTCATCTTACACGGTAAAAACAACCGCCGAAGCAATATTTGGCGGGCGAAGAGCCACACCCCCCGATCTCATGACACTATGGCTTACGACCGAAGATCGAGATTCCCAGACCGGGAGTAATTGCAGTTTATTCGGTCGGACAACTCGTCTACGTAAGGAATTTCAGCGGAAGTCGGGCCTTCCATGTAAAACTTGAGTAGAAAAGGCTCTATATTGGTTGACCAGAAGGTGTCATCTCTGAATACGTTGGATATCAATGCCCTTCAGTGTAAATATAACTAAATCACAAAACACTCTTTGCGTGTTGTGTAACTGGCCTTGTATTTGTTAGTAGAAGCTATGGTGGTGATTTGGACCTTTCACACCAGGCTCCTTTTTCGCCTCATACTCCTTTACGGTTAAAGTATATGCTTCAAGAATCTTTTGGAACGGGGACACTTTAGGTCAACGAAGCCATTGGTTCCAAGTAGTCAATCAGGGAATTCTGCTAGAAATCCGTCCCTCCTATTAACGAATAAGCCGCACTTCTGCACAGTGCAGTTTTCCTGTTCCACGTACAGTTGTAAAGCAGCATCCTCATTGATTCTACCATATTCTGTTGCGGGTGAAGAAAGTCTTTGGGTATACGATATTTGAAACAAGTCTGGCCCTCTATGTTGTGGTTCGACACCCACTAATGTCGTCGTTCTTATAGAGCCTCATCATTTAATCATTACCTCGTCACCTCATATTGCTCTTCATCAACAGTAAGTACAATAGGCTACCGCCATATTACAATCCAAGAATTGAAAAATTGTGTCGTTCAGTCCTTCAACAAGTTTATTATTTATATAATGTTATTACGTTACATTACCTCGAGACAATCGACGTCCATCGTCGATCTTCAAATACTTATACCTGTATATAAATTAGACGCACAAAGGGGGGGGGGGGGGGGGGGGTCGGTGGCCGAGTGCATGGTCTAGCGCACACCAGCTCGGAGCACTTAGAGCGAAAGCTCGCGCTGCAGAAGCCACCCCGCCTCTGCCCGTTTCGATCTGGAAGAGCATCGTACCGGCGTGGCGGTCGTGTGTATCACGACCGCGTGGTGCACGTTAAAGACCCCAGGTTCGCGGTTGTACCGCACTGGCTAAATTGCTCATCTACAGCTGAGAGTCAGACGCCCACTAAGGCGAACAAACTTCAGGCTGTACAAACATACACACAACAATTAGCAATTAGACACATAATAACAAAGAGCACAGCGTGCCGCCTCTTTTCTTTGGATGCCTTTTTTTTTTTAACCAGCGCAAGCTTGCGCGTTTTCTCTTTTGAGACGGTTAGAACGGTCGCACATAAAACCCGCGTTTCTCCTACCCGGTCGCTTCCTCCCCTCATTATGTGTAGTTGGTTATAACTAAATAAGCTATAATAATGGTGTATTATTCATATTTACTTTCAGTTTCAGTCGGGGAGAAGGAGTTAGCTGCGCTTAGAGTATCGGCACTCTCTTCCCCGACAGTGTTGTGAACGCCGCCATTCTGGTGCTTGTGCAGAGCAGGCGCAACTGCCGATCGTCATGATTCAAAAGTGCGACATCCTCAGCATTAGATTCGGTGTTAGGAAGCTCATGTAATGTTGCTTTGCTTTGTCGCGTATTGTTTAAAGTGGAGGACGGAAAAGCGTTTCTTGTGATTTCAGATAAAGCTTCAAATAACTGGCAACCATGATCTTAAGCCACAATATGGCCAAGTGTCACTACTCTGACGCGTAGCTTATTTAATGACACTATTCATGCTCTTGTTCAAGAGGCTTGTAATACCTGGAGGGTCCATGACGTAAGCCCCGTGGATTCCAAAAGCCACTACCCTTTGACACCTGCCTCTTCCTCATTGTTAACGCTTGTGCCAGTAAATTAGCTACGGTTCAGAGTAACGACACTTGGCCATATTGTGGCTTAAAATCGTGGTTGCCAGTTACCTGAAGCTTTATCTAAATTCACAGGAAACGCTTTTCTGTCCCCCACAAATGTGTAAACAACCCGCGACAGACCATTGCAATATTGCATCAGCTTCCTAGCACCGCATCTAATGCTGAGGAAGTCGTACTTTTGGATCATGGCGATCGGCAGTTGCGTTTGCTCTGAACAAGACCCAAAATGGCGGCGCCCAACACAATTTTGGGGAACGGAGTGATGATACTTTAAAGCTCATTTAGTGACTCTAGGCATGAAGTGAACTCAGGTGTATTATTTTCATCTTTGTTTTTATTGTTTATTGATTTCAATCATATTGAATAATGAACACATTTTATCACGCTACGCGTGTGTAATTATTTGTCTTAGATTTATTAACCTAGCCCAATACTTAAACCATTCATTTATTGATAGTAAATCTTCCAATATATTTTTAAATGTGAAGGTAAAAAGGTAAAAAGACACGGAGATTGATGATGATACAGACGCCAACGCCGCCCTCGGCAATTTTTTGAACACTAGAAATCAGCAGTTTGTCTGCCATCCGCCAGGTAGCGCAACAAAACACCCAAACAGTTTTTAATTGTTTTTAAAATTAGCTAAGCTCTACACCTATAAAGAAACCAAAGCAAGATCATTGTGAAAATTTAATACATCGCAATGTATATCTATTCCAAAAAATACATGTTATAAGATGGCAATAAATCTGTTTGATGTCCAAAAAAGATATGCGCCAAAAACAGGTAAGTTTGAAGGGCTCCTGGAGCGTTATGACTTTGAAAATGAAAAAAAGCCATCGTCCACCTCTTCGGCAACCATTGTAGCTTTAAATTTTATAAAATATTTTATCATAGTTTAATTATTTCCTCAGTGGCATTTGAAGTACCATGACTCGAAGCACAAAAAAGTGCTATGTTTGATATAAAATATCCAAACAAAAAAATTTTACACAACATGAAATTTTTTTCTGCATATTACCAATTATAAGCACTACATCTGTAGCTAATTACATTGCCCTAGCGCTTGTCATTAAAAACATATTTGTGCTGAAAAATTTCAATTTTTGGGCAATATTTGGAGGGATGAAAAAAACAAAGTAGTGCAAATACCAAAAAAGTGTATAGTTACATTCTGCTCCGACATCATCTTAACAAAACTGCTATATTGGAACCGTGTTATCTTTAATGGATCGTTCATAAAACATGAACTAGCGGAGCAAGTTAGGGTCCGCGCCATCATATTCGCAACGCTACAAACGCGCATGAACAGTAAAAACAAACACATACATAATATCAAATGAAAGAGGATTGCATTGCCTTTCGAATGACATCAATCCCACAAAACACTATTTAAAAGGAGATGAGTAATGACCTGCCAAAAAGTACCTAAACTGCCACATTCAGTGGGACCGTGGCCTTAAAGGGACCATGAAATGATTTTAAAATCGAGTTTCATCCACCGCACGTCGTAAAAGGTGTGAAAAGAAACACAAAAACACAAAAAT